TATTCACTTTAGAGACAGTGAGTAAATTACTAGGAATTGGGAGAAATTCAGAGAGGGTTAGTTTATACATCATAGATAGGGAAAGGGACATGATTTTTAATGAGAGATTTTTTAAAACTAGGATCCTAGGAAAGTGGCAAACCAGCAATTCTCGTTGAGCCAGTGTGTAGAGAAAGTTATGAGTCAAAGACTCACAATTGTAAATGGCCCAGGTTCTGCAAAATACAGTTCTAGCTGTGTATATGTGTACTTGTAGCATTAAAACCTTTCCTAGGCAAGCCCGCCAAGTTTCTTTTCTAAGAGTACCATCTTAAAAAATCAAAGGACTGTTACTTTGGGGAGGATATTCATAATTCCCATCAAATTTTTTTCATCTAACTTTCTATGTACAAATTCTAGGATGATCCTAAGAGGAAGAAGGTAGGGCAAATAAGAGTATAAACTGATAAAAACCTGAGGTATAGTAAGATAAGTAGATTGCTGGGTCTAGGATTCTTTATCACATTTTTAATGTTTCCCTTTACTAGAATGTATCTGAACTCAATTATCATCTTTCTTCACATTTTTCAGTCCCTTCTCTCTGAGCAGAAAAAGGAAATTAGAAGCCAAAGAAGCTATTTTGCAACACATCCAGTAAACTCCGGGCTTAAGATGCAAGATTCTTCGGTTACGAGAAAGTTGTATGTCTTTAGTTTCTCTGGAAGCTGATGGCAGTGAACTTTATTTATTGTCTTATTTTCTCTCAGTATTAGGAATGCCCAATCTTTATAACAAAATAATCTTACATTAAACCAAATGAATTTCAGTAAGAAATGAAACAAAGTCCACAATATATTGTCTTATGAACTAAGAAAACTAAAAATTTTATAAACTGTAAAGCAATGTTTAAATAATAGTCATTAATAATACACCTTTGCTGTTCATAATTATTAGTCATTAATAATAACTATGAACAGTAAAGGTGTAGCAGAAAGCTATTTAAGAGTCACAAACTATGTAAATTGAATGATCAGCTACCTGAATGACAGTTTAAGAACCACCTAAACTCATCTTCTTTATAAAAGTCTCCCAGAAACACATACCCAGTGTCCTAATAATGGCTGTAAATTCACTGGACTCTAAACCAAACTCTGCACAAGAGCTAATTGGAGCCTTAGCTGATCAGAGGTCAATCTAGGGCTCCTGGCAACAGAATGTGCAGGTTCAGGGAGGAGTGTTGACCATAACCTAATAAGAGACTGCCTTATGGAAGTCCTACTGAATCATTTCAGTACAGAGTAAGGTTGCTTTCTGCCTTTTTTTAAAAAAAAAAACAAAAACCCAAACACTTTTCTATCTTTTAATTGGAAGATAAAGTGGGAAGGAATTACAATTACATATTATGCTCACTTGTTTTCTTCTTATTATACATACTTTAGATTGCAGACTGAATACAAATATTGATCAGAAGCCAAAATACCCCACACATTTCTTACCAAATCAACCCAGGCCAATCTATCTTTCAACTATACATTTTTATGTTCTTGCCTCACCACTTACTAAACTAAATATACGAGCAAATAGCAATCCAATCCAAATAAGCATCTTTCATCTATAATTAGCTGAAGCAAGAGATTTAAAAATGAGTAGAGTTAATCCATCTCACCAATTGCATCTTCAATGCCTGTTTAGTCATGCTTGAATGTCTAGATTCAATTTATAGAGAATATGAATATATAACATTGTAAAGGAAGGCTTCTGGCAGATCCTATCTGACAGGGACAAAAGGTCAAACAGTTCCTTTGCTGTTCTGTGACAGTTAAAGAGTCTCTGGACTAGGTCAGAGGGTGGGAGAGTTATATCTAGATCTGGAATGGATCACTCACACAATTAAGTTCTTGTCAGAGCAAAAAACATGACAGCACAACTTTCCCCAGGCAAGAGGACAGCCAGATGGAAAATAACTCTTTTTCTCCACTTATCTCAAAATTAGAAATGAGAATGGAATTAAATGATGGAAAAACCATTTCTAAGTTTTAGAATACACTCTACTTGGGTTGCTGGGGTTACTATTTTGAGTTGATGTTTAGAAATCTTGGAAAAACGAAATCTTGTTTTTCCCTCACTGGAAACTGGTTACTCAAGTTATAAACTAACTCACCTTCACATCACTTTTTTCTTTTTTTTTCTAAGAGACAGGGTCTCACTCTGTCACTCAGCAGCATGATCAAAGCTCACTGTAACCTACAACTCCTGGGCTCAAGTAATTCTCCTGCCTCAGCCTCCCAAAGTGCTGGTTTTACAAGTGTGAGCCACCGCACCCAGCCTCACATCACCTTTTAACCCACAAACTGAGCACTATAAGATAATGATTATAGTGTAGACAGTACTCAACTATTGAATCCATACTTTTATTCATTATACATAGACTTATATAATGCTGTTTGCATGTAGAACTTAGATATTCATATACCAGCTAATGAGCAGACATTTAAATTTTTTTCCTGTTAATGTTGCTTGCAAGCATTAGTTTTGGCATTTTCCTCATCTTTGTCTGACATAAGTGTTTTTGTTCAATTATTAGAAAAACAGAAGTATTGGAAATTATTAGGCTTGCTATAGGTGGCAAATATTTGGCTTTAACCAGATACTCATTGTGTGGAAAAGGAAAAGAATGAATAAATAAGTCTGAAGTTTTGGAATTATATTGCTGAAGACCATCAAAAAGGCAAGAAAAATAATACATGTTTGATGCCTTGAGGACCTTTCCCCACTCCACATACATTACACAGACTTGAGTCCATTGTTGAACTTTTGTGCAGTGATTTGACTTCACTACACATTTTTTGAGACTTATATGTGATCTAAAGGTTAGACTATAAACCAATTATTAATATTAGTGACTATGTCTAGCACAGACTCACAGAAGATTAAGAGACAGAAGGATCCTTGAAGCTTATCTACTTCAAAATGATAGTTCTACAGATGAAAAAACTGGAGGCTGCAACGGTTATTTTACTTGCCTAATGCCCTACAGCTAAATGCATGGTGGTGCTAGGTCCAGAACCTGGGATTTCTCTAACTCAACATTCTTTCCATCACTGTAATTTTAGATGCCCTACCATCATGTTACCATTACAAGTCTATCCAGTTTCTCAAAAATCACAGGAGGCATGATTCCTGGTAGCCTTGTGGTATGGTTTGCATGTTTGACCCCTTCAAATCTCATATTGAAATTTGATCCCCAGTGTTGGAGGCGGGGCCTGGTTTGGGTCATGGGGTCAGATCCCTCATGAATGGCTTGCTGCCCTCACTCCGATAATGAGTGAGTTCTCACTTTATTAATTCACATAAGAGCGGATTCTTTAAAAGAGCCTGGCACCACTTGTTCTCTCTCTTGCTCCTTCTCTTGCCATGTGGCATACCCACTCTCCTTTTGCCTTGATTAGAAGCTCCTTGAAGCCCTCACCAGAAGCAGATGCTGGCACCAAGCTTGTACAACCTGTAGAACCATGAGCCAAATAAATTTTTTTTTTTTTATTTTGGCATATTATGGGGCCAAATAAATTTTTCTTTATAAATTATCAGGTATTTTCTTTACAGGAACACAAATGGACTAGTATACCTTGGAAACTGTAGTGCCTCCAGGTTCTGGGTCTGTGAATGTCTGTGATCCTTGCTCCCCCAAATTAATATGGTATCGAGAAAAACTTGAATGCCAAATCAATACTGGTTGATCCTGCAGATGTTTTAAAATGATTTCTGCATTTTATCTTCCCAGTCTAAGGTTAAATATTACTTTTTCAGAGATGCCTTCCATAGCAAGCTTATCTATACTTGTCTTGTTCTTTATGTAACTTTATAGCACATATCATATTCTGAAATAATACATTAATTTACTTATGAAGTATCTTTTCCAACATGTTATAAATTTCGTGGAGGCAACTTGTTCCCAACTGTTTATGTGGCACAGTCTTGGCATATAAAAGCAGCTCAAATAATATTTGTTGAATAAACAAATGAATTTCTCTCACTAAATTCATGGTTGAAGCAAGCCTTATAGAAGCCCTAATTATCTCTTTTATCCTGTCCTAAACTTGTTAACTAAACCCAAGGGATTAAAGTTCCAGGGAAGTAGATTTTAGTTCGCAAAAGCTACCAGTTAAAAAGATTCAGACATGGAATGAGCAATTTTGTAGGATACTGAGCTATCTGTCCAGAAGAGGCTGGAAAACCAAGTGTCCAGGTAGATAGGATCTTTCTGCATTAGGTAGAAAGCCAATCCTGAAAATTTCTCAGGTGTCTTCCAACTCTAAGATTCTGGAGTTTGTTTCTTGTCAGCTGCTTGATTTTGAATTAGGTTAAAACACACACACAAACTTCCTTAGGAAATAACCCAAGAGATGCCTACTAATGAGACTTATAAAATTGATTATTCAGCAATCTACATCCTTTTACAATTATTTGATACATATGAATTCTACTGAATATACAATTTGCTTTAGGTCCATATAGACTAAAGTGAGTTTTTTAAAAGTTGGTGTAGCATTTCAAACACACACACACACACACACACACACACACGCTTTCATGTAATTATTATATCAACTCTGTGAGGAAAATGATGCTTGAGCTCATGCAGAGTAAGCAGCTTGTCCAAAGTGCTAGAATTGTCAGGTCTCAAACTCCCCATGTGGTGTCCTTCTTACTCTAATAGACCACACTACTTTTTGACTCTAGAATTACCCATCCTTTAGCCTTACCATATTTCCATCTTCATCCTGGATTGAAAATGCCTTTCTTCCAAATTTTACTGGGAAAGGACCAAATGTAATTTAAAACTCTAACTTTTTTCTATAGGTATTAATTAAAAATCTATTTTATTGATGATTAAAGAATAAACATCTAACAGAAAATAATTATAACACAAAAGTGATTAAAGAATTTAAACAGTGAATGCAATGTTTAGTAAAGCACTGAGAATAAGATGGGCATTTATCACAGGTTAAATGGCAAGGGAGAAAACATCTAAAAACATTTTATTTTTAGCTACTAGTTGTTTCTTAAAAGTTACACAGGGAAGTGATCTAATGATTAAAGACAAAGTAAAATACACTATTCTCATCCTGTTTTAGAGTTTGAAAGGACTTCTGAGACCATCTAGTTCAATTTCTTCATTTCTTCTTGAGGTAATAGATTTGAGAGTCCACTTGCTATAAGTACCTCTTCTTGAGGAAGTTCATACTTTTAAGAAATGCCCTCAACTTTCTAAGAAAATCATGATCGCTTATATTTTTCATATGTTACATCTCATGGTATGACAATTACATATTGAAACCTGCATTTCTAAAACCCAAACATGCATTTTCCTATATGCATATTCATGTGTGCCTCTGCAATGTTTTCCTTAACGAATCGTCCAGCTATAAAAGACATGAATGAGTAAATCTTGGAAAGGGGATAACATCTTTGATATTTTCAACTCCCAAGATGCACTGCAGGTAGCGTTCAAATCCCATCCCAAAACCTCCATGTGGCACAGATCCAAATCGACGAAGGTCCAGATACCTGTTTTTTAAAAACAGAGAATCATCACCTATAAATGCTGTATGAGATCAGATGTTATGATTAGCATTTTATGTTTCAAAAGTATTTTGCAATCATTTGCTATTGTCCACATCATTGTGGTAGACCAGTCTTTCCCCTCCACAGACAGATGATGGAAATGTCAAAGTTAAAGTGATCTCATCTATCCAAGGTTACCGAGACAAACAGCAGTAGATCCTGTCATTCAGTCATGAGCTTTTGGTCATTTGATCCTTTTTGAGCTGTTTATGCAATTATGTACAGAAAACTTGTCTCATGAGCCTACAGAAAAATTTCTAATAACTTTACTAGTTTTCCTGAAAATACATTCCTCTTCTATTTCTTGGTGTGTCAATGATGATGCTTTTTTCCTTACCAAAATCATATTGTTCAATACACAGAGGAGAGTGAAGAGTTTTGCTTGATACATTACAAAAAGATATCTCCTAGATTAGAGTGTAAGCTAAAACAGGGCAGGAATCGTGTCTCATTCAACCTTTTATCTCCAGGGAATGCTCTAGAGTAGGTGCTTCTACATGAATAATTATTGTTTGAAGGCACAAAAATATATTCTTGAATGCTGAAATGAAGAGAAACCTCTAGTTCTCAGCTTTGGGCCTAGTGAAGATGCTCAGAGTCATTCCTCTGGCAGGCTAGACAGCTTCTGAAACCTATCCACTTAAGACCACATGGCTAGAAAATGGTCAAACCACTATTAAAACTCAGATTCTAATATACCAGCATTAGATAAAGTTATTTTAGGAATGAAAGAGAAAAAGGAAAACTATAAATACTTTATTACATCATTTGGTGGGGAAATTGAGTTATATAGTATTGATTAAAATAAATTTAGAGTTTCTTGAATGATTTGTAAAATCAGTTCCACAATCAGACTTAAGCACAACAGCTGGTAGTCATTTGGCTCCTCAAGCATAAAGATTGTCTACCGCCTATTTCCTCACCATTAATAATAATGCTTACATATATTGGTATTTTAGGGAGTTGGCTAAGTACTTTTTGAAATAAAGATGAATTCCAACTAGATGAGCTGTACCAGGTTGACAGAATAGTATGACAGAGGTATCTAATATAGAACTTCAGATTAGTAAGAGGAACTGTAAGAAAAAATGGAAGGAACTTATTCTTGACTAATTGAAATGTTTGGTAGCCAAATTAACTTCAAGTTTACAAGGCAGAGGGACAGCGTATATACTTCGATTTAGTAACAAAATAAAATTAAGGGCATACCAAACCACCTGTCACAAACACCTGGAAGATCTCAGCAGCTGCTAGAAGGTCCAGCAATAGTTTTAGATGGGTCCAAATTTCTCATACATTGCTGTCAAAACACTGGCATGAATATCAGCAAACTGAATTCAGTAGCATTTTTCTTTGCCTTTGCTTTGATAGGTTAGAAATCCACTCCTACAAAAAAAAGTTTTCTGATGTATGCATATTTGTTTGATTGTTGTTAGATTGACTCTAGGGTAGCCAGATTATAGAAGAGATACTAGAAAATTTCCGGAACTAGTTATAGATTTTATTTGCATATGGCATGAAGAAATAGGAAGTGAGTAAATTCTTAGACACCTGGGGTGGCTACTCACAATATGGGAGAACATTAGCAGAGATCACAAATGTGAAGATTTCTAAAGCCCCTCTTACCTTTAATATACTATGATTAAACTATGATAAAAGGAAGCAAATTCAAATAATAAATATTTACATTTAGAGATCTTAAAAATTTGAAAACTTTCATTGGGAAAAGAATACTACTAAAATGATTAATAAAGACAAGAAAAGGCCTAAACTTATTTAACCAATAATTAAAACTTGTATTTAGCTCTTTATTAAGGCAAGTTCTTATACACTATAAATATTATCTCACAGACTGAAAGAATCTGAGGTAAAATGCATAAGCTTGCTCAAAAAATCAGGCTTATCTATCTAATATTTAATAGCAAGACTCAGAACAAAGAAAAGAAACGGGGTAGGAAACTAGCATTTACTGAGCATAGATACTTATATTGTTTCATTTTATCTTCATAATAATCTTGTGAAGTAGATAGTATCATTCCATTTTATAACCAAGAACATCAATACTTAGAGAGATTAAGTATACTTAAGGTCATTACTGGTAAATATAAGGCATTCAAAGGCCATTACCATAACCCAGTTTTAGCTGTTTTGCATCTCTAAAACCTACTTCCTTCCTTACCAAAAGGCAAGGGTGTAACATGCCCCTTCCTTCTCTTGAGGACAGCAAAAGGATTAATATCATTGTAGATATTATTATGCCAAGGTCCCAAAGGAGTGCTATTACAGAAATATAAATAATTTGTATATATTGAAAAGTATTTGCAGAAAGGGCATGCAGAAAAAAAAAATCAGGACAACTTTGAGGAAGTAAATGCATGAGTACAGACAGGTGGTCTTCCTTAAGCAGCTCAGATTTTTACGTTCGTGGAGCCCTTAGGGATCACTTAGCTCAAGTCCCTGATTTCATACCTAAAGAAATTTTTTTTTTGTTTTGAGACAGGATCTCACACTGTTGCCCAGACTGGAGTGCAGTGGCTCAATCATAGCTCACTGTAACCTTGAACTCCTGGGCTCAAGCTATCCTTCTGCCTCAGCCTCCCAAGTAGCTGGGACCACAGGCGTGTGCCACCATGCCCAGCTAATTGCTTCTACCTGTATGATATTAGTTAAGTTAGTTAACATCTCTGGGCCTCAGGCCTAGAGGGGTAATAAAAAGGGGTTAATAATGGTATTTCACAGGTGTTGTGATGATTACATGAGATATTATAATATACATAAACATTTTAACATAGTTATTTGACACAATAAATAGCCAAATGGTAGCTATTAATATTATTATTTTTCAAGAACCCAAAGGGAATAAGTAATCTTCTGACCTCCCCCCAAGACCTCCCTGCCTTTCATGGTTCTTAACACTCTTCTCCAGGGGCTCAGACATACAAGTTAAAATTCTTCTAGGCAGGCAACACTCAGACAAGCAGCTAGAATATGTATGAATTATTGGGGGCCATATTCTTACCATTGGTAGACTTCTTTAAGTCCTGATCTGTGAAACGACAATAAAATTTTTTCAGGGAATGGCAATATGATAAATATATTAAGCACTCAACATTTATTCCGGGTTGTATGCAAAGAGCTTTTTAATGAAGAAGTACACAACAAGGCCTGTGCTCTCAAATAACACACAATATAGTTGAGGAGCTGAAACTTTATAGTAAGGTAACCAACAGCCCAAGATCTTATCAAATAAGGAATTTAGACAATAAATGCTATAGAAAGAAAATATGATCCAAAGTCCAAAAGAAGGGATTCATCAGACATTAGCCTACTATACTATGACATAAGAAAACAACTATTTTTATTAGGTAAGGTTGTTAGGAGGCACACACAGATAAGGGACACACAGTCACAACTTTCATTCTATAACATTAAAACAGTGACATAGATTCTAAGGCTGCCTTTGTAATATGGTTGCTGATTTGTTCCTATTTGAGAAATATTAATAAAATGTTCAGCTCTTAGTGTTCATTTAAATTAATATCAACCCTTTAAAAAATGTTTGAGGCCACAGTATATCTAAAGTGATCAGGTCTATGAAAAATTCAAATATACGAAAATACAGAAAACATGAACTGCAGCCACACACAGATCTCTCAGATAATGAACACATATATTCGTTTCATTAGGAAAGATAAATTTGGATATTATCAGATATTAGGTAAACATTTAATGTTGTAAGGAAAGGTTTCCTGAAGGAAGGAAGCAACCAAAGAAAACAGACCAATTAATCTTTCAACAGATAAGGTTTCTTGCCATGTGTTATTTTTATTGTGCTTTTTAAAAAAACCCAAAGAATTTTCAGATTCTTTCCACCTAAAGAATCTGACATTTACTTCAATTACACAACTTTCCCAGGACTTTCTAACATGATAGTGATATTAAGGAGTTAGCAGAATGATACACAAGTCTTCCCAAAACCTATTTATCCCTTTCTTTTGGATCCTAATCCAATAGAGCAGTTCAGATGACTGGGATTACAAAACTAGTTACCCAGGAGAGGTTGGGATCTTGGGAAAGCATCAACTTTTTAAGCATTTCTCCATTAGGGAAAGAAGGACTTACAAATGGCTAATATAACAGGACATTTTCAAACAATTATGGCTTTTCCAGGTTACTACGAAACCCAGTATTATCTGGAGAGAAGGATTAGCATACAGACATGGCAGTTTCTTTCTTTCTTTTTTAAGTTTGGCACAGTAAAAGTAGAAATCATGGAAAAACAGAGGCTTATAACCTTGGTTAGTTTAGGAAGTCACTAAGGTTTGTTGGCAGACCCTGCAAATACAGGAGTGGAAGTTCAATTAGAAACACGATTCTCTATTTCCTATCTCCAAAACATTCTCTATGTGTTCATAGATTCATTTCCCAGGTCTCAAACAGCAAGTTAAAATAAAGTATTCAAATAGCAAAATCAAGACCCTGACACAGTAGAGAACCCAAGGAAGGGAAATCTGCTTATTCTAAATGCTAGCGTAGTGGATATTTTAGCAGTTTTCTTTCCCCACCTTTATTGTGTCCCTGGTTCAGAGTCTATCTTTAAGTCCCTGTAGGAAGTCCCGCCAATCATAATTGAAAATAAACACAAAATACAGATAAGAGAAAAATGTAGGACAGGCTTTAAAGGGGGAAATCTCCCTCTTCATATTAATTTTCTAAAAAACTCCTTTCCATAGGGAACGCTACATACAAACAGTGGGCAAATATCATTGCAGGCTTTTCATATAACAGTTCCAGTCTTTAAGAAAGTGATGGTGAGAGAAGCTGAGTAACAACTTGCTCAAAGTCACACAGAAATCTGAGATCCAGGTCACCAAGGCCTGAGGCCCATGTGCTTTTTCTCTCTGTTACTATGCCATGATCACCCTTGAGTGCCTCACCCTAAATTTCTGAATTGTGTTTGTTTTAGGTCCTACCTGGCCAAGCGCTGCTCTAAAACATGGTACCGTTCCTCCCTGAGGCTTCCTCCAATGAGTTCCCCAACCCCGGGAACCAGAAGATCAACAGCAGCAACCTAGAAAGGAAATGAAAATCATTAGCATTATATTTTCAGGTGATTCCAATAGTCAGCTTCTTGAGCAAGTAGAATTTTTAACATTTTGACAACTAGATGTTTAACTGCCTGCCAGAATCTTACTCATTTTATCTGTTATTTATGCTCCTTGTTTCAGTATTAAATGTTTAATATTATCTTTTAAATATATGCTAGACAAATTGCAGGTGGGCAGTTTCCTCTCTCCCCTTCTACCATCGTGTGGTGTACTCAAAAAGAATGTGTTTTCTTCACAAATGTGATATAAACGTTAATTATAAAAAAATGTGGAATTGTAAAAAATGATGAAATATTAAAAATCACCTATCACCACACAGAAGCAATTACATTTTGGCATACTTCCCTTCAGGTTTTTTTTTGTCTTATACATTTAAGAAGAGTATGTTACAGATCAAATTACATATTAAAACTTACCATTTTAATTGCCTTACCTAATATTATATAATTAATATTTGTCCTATGTCAGTAAAAATACTTCATATATTTAATGTTTTAATTGATGTGTAATTTATTGCTTAGAATTATAATTTATATAACTGGTTCCCTTTTTTGTTGAACATTTCAATGTGTGTGTATTTTGTTTTCTCTTATAAATAATGTGGCAATGGAGAATTTTCTTTAATTTGTAGTATTTTGTTAAGACATATAAAATGAGTTCTGATTACTAGTCAAAGAAGTATAAATTAAAAGAATAAGATACCATTTTGGAGTCACCAAAATGGTGATGAGAAGAAACAACATAAATAATATAGGTAAGAGAATGAATAAACCAATGCTCTTTTGTACATTTAATATAACCTTCTGGTCAGCAATTTGACAACAGATAATCAAAAGCCTTAAAAATGCAATATGCTTTGACTCAGCAATAACAGTTCTAGGAACTAGTCCTAACAAAATAATCAGAGATGTAAGAAAGATTAACACACAGGATGTTTATTACAGCATTACTTACAAAAATAAGTAATTTTTCAAATACTTGAAAAATTCAAATAGACGTCAACAGAGGAACATTAGAACAATTTGACATGGATAGAAAAAAGACTGACATCTACATAATGAGATGTTAATTGTGCTGCCACTGTGATAAGGATTATGGATATTTTAACATAGTTTTCTTCTTTTCTGTTATTTTTATTTTCTTATTTTCTATAGTAAGATGTAATAGAAAACATCAAAAACTTTCTCACCATCCATGGAGTGAAGAGAGAAAAAAGACGAAAACATCAAAAAACTTTTAATAGGAGAAAATGATAGCTTGATAGTTTAATTTTTTATTACTCTAATAAAATTCTATTACTAGTAATATTTAATTTTTAAAAACGTTTGTTACCTGTATTATTTTGTGACTTGCCAATTCTTTTATTTTGGGCAGGTAGACATTTTTTAAGCCCAAGAATTTGTAGGTACAAAACTAAGAAAGATTTAGAGCAACAAATGAAAAATTAGGGGTGCATAAAACACATTTTAATCTTTAAATGTCACATTATACTATAAAGTTTTTTCTTAAACGTTGCCTCACTTAGCCACTATACTATCCCTCTAGTTTTGATTTCAGAACTTCTGATTGAGGTATATTTTATAAATAATTGAGACTAATAAAGAATAATTCAAGAATGTGCCCCAAATGCTGTATACTTTATCCTTATTACTATCATTAAAGTTATCATTATATCCTATTTAGCTTTGACTAAAATCAACTCAAAAGAGATTAAAGACTTAAATATAAGACCTGAAAATATAAAACTAATAGAAGAAAATACAGGCAGAAAGCTCTAAGACATTAGTCTGGGCAATGATTTTTTGGATATGACTTAGAAATCACAGACAACAAAAACAAATGGGATGGCACGAAACTAAATAACTTCTGCACAGGAAAGGAAACAATTAACAAAGTGAAGAGACAATTTACAAAATGGGAAAAAATATTTGCAAACCATGTATCTGACAAAGGGTTAATACCTAAAATATATAAGGAATTCAAACAACTCAACAGCAAGTAAACAACCCAATGAAAAAATGAGCAAGGGAACTGAACAGGTATTTCTCAAAAGGAGACATACAAATGGCCAATAGGTATATGAAAAAATGCTCAGCATCACTAATCATTAGACAAATGCAAATTAAAACCGTAATGTCAGAATGGCTTTTATCAAAAAAAAAAAAAAAGAAAGAAAGAAAGATAAGTTTGAAGAGGATGCAGAGAAAAGGAATGTTTTATACATTTGGTGGGAATGTAAATTAATACAGCCATTATGAAAAATGGTATGGAGGTTCTTCAAAAAATTAAAACTAAAACTACCCCATAATCCCACTTTTGGGCATATATCCAAAGGAACTGAAATCAATACACTGACATGGTATCTTCACTCCCATGTTCACTGCAGCATTATTCATAATAGTTAAGTTATAGAAACAACCCAAAGTGTCCATCAATGGATGAACAGCTAAAGAAAATATGGTATATTTACATAATGGAATACTATTCAGCCTTAAAAAGAGAGAAAATCCTGTCATTTGTGACAACATGGATGAATCTGGAGGACATTATGCTAGGTGAAATAAACTAGGCACAGAAAGACAAATACCACATGATTTCACTTACATGTAGAATCTAGCAAAGTTGAGCTCACAGAATTAGAGAGTAGAAGCTCTGGGGGTGGGGAGGGAGGGAATGGAGAGTTGCTGATCAAAGGGTATAAAGTTACAAAGAGAAGGGGAATGGGAGTTGTTAATCAAAGGGTGCAAAATTTCAGACAGATAAGAGAAATAGATTTTGAGATTTATTGCACACCAGGGTGATTATAGTCGATAATAATGTATTATATATTTTAAATAACTAAGAGAGTAAATTTCAAATGTCTCACCATAAAAAATGACAGGTAAGCAAGGTGATGGATATGTTAATTAGCTTGATTTAATCATACCACATTGTATACAGTGTGATATGTAAAAGTATCACACTATACACCCCATAAATGTATACAACTATGACTTACCAAAAATATGAAGAGAAGGGATAGGTATATCAAAAATCTATCATTTCGGCTGGGTGTGGTGGCTCATGCCTGTAACCCTAGCACTCTGGGAGGCTGAGGCAGGAGGACTGCTCGAGGTCAGGAGTTCAAGACTAGCTTGAACAAGAGTAAGACCTTGTCTCTACTAAAAATAGAACAAAATTAATTGGCCAACTAAAAATATATAGAAAAAATTAGCCGGGTATGCCTGTAGTCCCAAGTACTCGGGAGGTTGAGGCAGAAAGATTGCTTGAGCCCAGGAGTTTGAGCTAGAATAATGCCATGGCACTCTAGCCCCCGCAACGGAGCGAGACTGTGTCTCAAAAAAAAAAAAAAAAAAATCCATCATTTCTAAGATTTTAAAGTAGAAGTGATTCCATGCAACAAGAGAAGGCAGTAATTGCTTTTGATATTGTAAGTATACGCAAAGCTTAAAAGCCAGGGCTAAAAAGGTCTATAGCCTCAAAAAGATGGTGGAAAATCAGCTATTATGGAAGAATAGTAAGTATGTAGTTCAGATGAGGCAGGATGAAACAACCCTTGCTGAGCTGTTCTGCTTTCTCTGTGTAGTTCATAAGCATCAAACAAAAGATCCACTTCTTGCTTAATCTTGCTGCTAATACAACTAAAACAAACAAAAAATCCTCTGGGATGTTACTACTTTTTACAGGTCTAAATTATGTTAATTTTAGACCTTGGTTTTTTTAATGCTATTTTTAGATTAGATAAATCATATTTGATTATAAGCCTCCTTTAATATTTAAGTTCAGTGGAGAGTTCCCTGTACAACCACGTTGGCTTTAAATCTTTCTATCTAGCTTGTATTTACCTGGCATATTTGCAACCACACAGTGATAGCTGTGGAACTAGAAGTTTCTGATCCTTTTGAGCCACCTTCAAAATCTTATGCCATGGTATGACAGCTACTTTTTAAAACAATTTCTTCCAAACTTCCCTTCTTAATTTCCAGAGTACCTAACTGGTTATGCCCAACTATTTCTGTACTGGCTATTATAAGCTTAGGGTGATAATTGCTGTATTAGTCAGGATAGGCTAGGTTAAACTATAGTCATAAATAACCCCAGAAACTTACAATAAGGTTTCTCAGTCTCAGCACTAATAACATTTTTGGCCAGATATTTCTTTGTTGTGAGGGCCTACACTGTACATTGTGGGATATTTAGCAGGATAACTGGGCTATACCCACCAGAGGCCAGTTGCAACAACCAAAAAGGTCTCCAGACACTACCACATGTCTTCTGGGAGAAGAAGGAGTGGGACATCTAACCCCTGATTGAGAACTACTACTTTATAACAACCATGAATTGGCTTTTTTTAAACTTATGCTACATGTCCATCCTGGCCTGAAGCTGATACAACAACCCCTTTTTCTAAGGTATTGCTGGTCTTGGGGCAAATGGAAAAAGAGCTTGGATGTGTGCTAAACAAATCTTCTAGAAGTAATGTACATGTCACTTCTGCTCACATTCCTTGGCCAATGCAAGTCACATGACTCAGGTCCCGTCAATGGGGCAGCATAATCCCCTCTGAGGGAGAAGCAGAAATTATGCACGTATGAGAAAATGGTTTACCATTTGTTCTTTCTTCATCTACTTGGACTCCTTCACTTCCACTCTCTCAACGAATCCCTCACTGTTAATTAGAATTAAGGCCAGAATAGCAGCTCCCCTATTTTCTTCCTCTGTCCCCTGGGAGATGAATTTAGCATTATGAAATAATTTATCAAAATAGGCTATTTTAGTTGAAAAATATTTTAGAAGACATCTGGATAAAGTCCTAACATCATTACTATATCTTCACTTGGTACTAGTTGTGTGGTATGCAGGAGGAACCTATATCATCTATGTCCATATATATCATCTATGTCCTTTCTTTGTCTAGATCAGGGGTCCTCAAACTTTTTAAACAGGGGGCCAGTTCACTGTCCCTCAGACTGTTGGAGGGCTGGACTATAGTTTTTAAAAAAACTATGAACAAATTCCTATGCACACTGCACATATCTTATTTTGAAGTAAAAAAACAAACAGGCAAAAACACCCGCATGTGGCCTATGGGCCGTAGTTTGAGGACACCTGGTCTAGATGGTCTGAAAATTCACATTCTCAGGTGGGTGAATTTCCTATATGTTTCCTTGACATAGAAAGTAAAGTTGCTTCTCCTCTTATGTATCTGTACCTCCTTTTGAGTAAGGCATTCCTTTATAATGCCTCATAAATGTTCCATGACCAAATGGTACTATTTCTTTTTCAGCAAGGACAGATTTATCTCCGTGAAGAAAAACCCACAAAGGCCTTGTTGTCTTCTCTTCTTCCATATAATATTCTTCTTTTCTCCTTTACTTCAGGGTTAGTTTCCTTTCAACCATATCAGCTTCTAATACTTCCTACTTTTCTTTTATAATTGTATCCTATGAGCTAGCTAGAAATTCTGTATACTTTCTGAGAAGTTGTAATGCAGCAAAGTATTCTTTGACTACAAATAAAGACACATTTTGTATACACAGAGCTGCACTTTCTTCTGGCATATCAAAAACACACTATAACAATCCCCTCAAATTTCCATATCTTTTTGGTTAGGATTGAAATTCCAGGTAGGATTCTTCTACCTTGTTTCTCACCATGGTAACTATTGGGCTAATTACTATAGAAACTACCTGTTTCTCCAGGGCTCTAGTGGAGATAAAAGGCAGAAAGATATAATACAAAACGTAAGTGTGCACAAAACATGTAGAGAATCATATAAATTTCTTGAAGAAATAATGAGAAAAACTTTATGGTGTTTGTTCAGTGATTGGGGGGCAGAGTGCAAACAGGTTGGAAATGAGCAAATTGGCTAGAACATTTGTTGGTGATTACTAATTTGCCTTTAGGGGCTGGCAGGTCTGTGGTTTATGTGAGGCTAAAACAGGCTTAAAGAGCTAGTAGGAGCTGGGCACAGTGGCTTGTGCCTGTCATCCCAGCTACTTAGGAGGCTGAGGTGGGAGTATTTCTGGAGGCCAGGAGTTTGAGGATATGGTATGCTGTTATTAGGCTACTGTGATCCAGTCTCTCTAGGAAAAAAAAAAAAAAAAAAAGCCAGGGCAAGGGCACTGCAGACAGAAGGAATAAATCATGATTAGGGAAAGTAGGGAGGGTTCATGGATAAATAAAAAGTATAGTAGTAGAGATCAGATTTTATCATAGCTAGCCAGAAAGTATTAAATGTGACAAGAAAAATACAAATAAAGCACCATGAATAATCATATAGACCACGGCCACTATCAAAAGTACAGATAATGGTGGACAACTAATGGCCCTTCCAGGCAATTCCAGTATGCTTGAAGAGTCAGAAAGGTACCCGCAAAGGTAACTCCAAAACTGGGCTACTGTGAGTTCAGTACCCATTTTCTGCCCATTCAGCTATCACATGCTAGCCTCTCCAAACAGCTGGATTGTTAGGGCACATCTTAAGCAAGTTAGAGCATCACCCTTGTCCATGGGGGATGAACTTGCAAGCTTTTACATTCCCCATTAGGAAATCTCCTTATCTGTTAATTAGATGACCAAACACATACTTATTTATTCCTGTTTATAAGTTTCATCTATGACTACTTCTGAGCAAGACAGATAAGTCAAGTCAAAGGAACCCCCAAAGTAATTCAACCTTCCTATATTATTTTTTCCTGGAACCTCATTAAATCACAGCCCCAAAGCGGTCATGAACTTGAATTTTTAAAAGTCCTTCTGAATCAACAATTGTCTGGTACTTTAGGAAAAAGATAGGGTTCAAAGAGAAAGGAAGGTAGGATCAGGAAATATGCATAGCATATCTGTAGGTCTAGTGGCTACTCAGAGTAATGAACTACATAAAGAACAGGAACAAAGCTAAATCTATCATTACATAATTCACTGATTGCATAATGAAATGTCTTTTTAATTCAAAGTTGGCCATATTTGAGCACTTTTGTAGCTAAAAATATTATGTTTCTATGTATCTTTGGGAGGCCTGAAATAAGTGGAAGGCCTTACAGTTCTCCTGTCCTTGCACTCTTCTGCACAGATAACACAGGAGGCTACAGA